GTATTTTTATTAGCATTTTTTATAGATACAAGTTCAAACGTTGTTTTTTATAATCGTCGAAGCTTACGATGAATTCAAGCGCTCAAACAATAAATGATAAGATGACATTTTTTGGCTGAAGGAATCAAAAAAAAAATCTGCCGAAATAACAAAAATAGATGTTAATAAAAAATGCACGTGTTGGTTATTGCGGTATCCAGTGGCCATGAGATTAATAATGAAAAAATTCAAATATATGCACACAGCACAGGACGACTTTCTGTTGAAACGTATCCTTGGTATAATATGCCTACCACTTTGCACAAGTTTTTTATTCACGGACCCGAAATAGTGTCAAATGCCCTTTTTACATATTGAGCAGTTATCAGAAGTTGGTGATGCTGCGGACAGAGATGGCCTGTCAGAAACAGTGATGTAAATGACATACATTTCCGACGTTTAATACATACATTAGAGACGTCAGAAACCCACTCAAAACCATTAGGTTTTTAATAAAATAACTATTTACATTTATCGATTTGTAAATAACGTATGCTTTACTCAAATCCATATCGAATTTCAAAACTTTTTTTCTCAAAAAAGTTCAGAATTTTTTATCAGTTCTAGTAAAGTTAAAAAAAAAGTAAAAGTTCTATACAGTTAAAATAATATATGTTCTTGAAAATTACTGTATATGGTGATAATATTAAAATAAATGACGCTTACTACATTGTATACACCTTTTGACAGTCGAAAACCTGGCCCACGTTTTGATATAGTCTTCATATAAAGTTGTCACCCCATATTCGGTATTTAGCCACATTTTCACCAGAAATATATATAGAGTAACTTCGGGTAATGTGGGCTATAAATGTTTTCCTAATTAGTGAAAACAAACATCAAACTTGGTTTTTAATAAATAATTGTAATGTTGACAATTTAGTAGTAGAACATGTGGCTCTCATTGTAAAAATGTGTTTTGAACATTTTTTAGCACAATAGTCGAACGTTTTTGCAAAGTATTCGAACAACTTGTTTTTTCGAATATAAGGAAGTTATGTGGGTTTCTTGTTTTCTTTAACAAAAATATACGTTTAGCTGTAATAACAATCGATGATTTTTAATTTTTATTCATTTTTTAAGCCGATAATTATTTTTAAATAAAAATATTCAATGTCGGGTAATGTGGACCACTATAAAAATTGGGACCTTCTCATGAGGACGAGTTCAAAACATGGGCGCATTTAATATGCGAGGAGGTATTCTATCCTCTGAAAACTCGATATGCGAAATTTCAGATGCTTCGGTTGGATAATGAAGCAAGGACCTTCAAAATACTGCAAATGGCGCGGTACCCTTAAATGGAGGCTATTCCAAAACATGAACCCATATATTTTTGCATTCATTTTTACCCAAGAGTGCAATAAATTGAAATTTATCACAACCAATCCACAACCTACGTTTAACTAACTGATCCTCATTACCCACACATACTGGTCCACATTACCCGCCAAGTTATTTTTATACGCAGTTTAGAGTTTTTTGAAATATAATGCAAAAACATTTTTATAGACAAATATATGGGAAATTACAAAATTCTTTTAAAATTTCATAAAAAAATTTGAAAAATTTTTTTGCGAGCACATTCATGATTTTTGGTACATAGGTTAAGAAAAATATGCTGATTCGAAATATGTTCGCGTTCACAAATTCGGATGCTGCAATAGAAGGAAGCGACCTCTACTAATATTAAGAAAGACAAGTAAAGAGTTGAACATATGTGAAGAAGTACCAGAAGACTTTGGTACATCCCCCATCTTCAGAGTTAAAGTAGATTTGGTAAAATATTTCGATTTACAAACTATTAAATTCGCTTCAAATTGGATTTGCATGTTTTCAAAAAATGTACCCTTTGTGAGGGAAGTATTAGGAGGAATTGTCCGATAAGTCCCATCTTCCAACATTATACAGGAATGATTAAAATATTAGGTTGTCCAACGTTTTGTTCAAATTGTATAGTCCATTCTCATTCTCTCAACCTTTTCTGGGAAGCGGTTTTTTTCTAACCATTTCAAATGTTTCTGAAAAAAAATATTTGTCACCCTCCAAGAACCTCGAATGCCGAATTACAGGCTAGGACCCCCAAACTGTCAAATACGGGAAGGGGTTATATCGACAATTATTTGAAAACATATTGTTCACCTTCCAAAATCCTGGTATATGGGGTTTCTTCAGAATTGTCTGTAACCTTTTAACAAACTGTTCTATTAACACAAATAAAATGTCATATTAAAGGAGAGATATTTTCCTTGGTTATATCTAGGTTAAAGAAACAATTTTCAAACATATCGTTCATAAATATTTTTCACATAAAAATATTCATATTTATGAAAATACGGATTTCGAAATAGCCAATAGACTTATTAGCTTTCATATGACACCAAGTGTATTACAATACGACCAGTAGTTCAAAAGTTATGGCCACGTTAAGTCGCTTTCGCCATTTCAAACTACCGCATCAATAGATGGCGTTGCGGTTGTCAAATTGTCAGGTCGCTACATAAAATCAAGGCATTCTTATAATGCAAATAACTTTTGAACGAATTGTGATTTTTGGAACATTTAAAATCCGATCTTAATTAGGTACGAAAACGAAAGATGTAAGTTTTTCTTCAATGTTCAATAATTTTTGAAATACTTGGAGTATAGTAATAAAATTGGTATCTTATAGAGAGGTAAGAATTATAACTATTTCGATATCTGCCCACAAATTTATAAATATGAAGTATATACAAAAAATTGTGCTAAATTATATTTTAAAAAATAACAGCCCTAAATAGGGTTTTGAAACTAATGGGTCGATTACGGATGCTAACCATAGTTTAGTGGCGTTGCCAGTTGCTGCGGACTTTTGATCAAACCAAAGCCACTATCGATGATGTTTGGAAGGCCATTTCAGAAGACCTTAACTGCTATGGCCCACCAACACGCATTCCAATCTGAATGGCAGAGAGCGGCGAACATCTTCTTTTGCACCCATGATATGTACGTGTGTGTCATCAATACATCCGACAACACCCGGGAATTTTGTTTTCGAATTTCTTTCCTTCTCTGTTAATTTGGAAACAACAGGCCAAACCCACCAACATTGTTGGATGAGCCATGCCAAGGTTGAAGTCATTGCCATGGGACTTTTGAAAACTTCCCTCTCCCTCAGAGCAGCACACATTTTTAAGAGGGGAGGAATTGCTGTTGACCGCCGGGCTTTTCGGAAAACAGGGCTTAAGGCTTCAACTAAGTACACAAGGCATCTTTTGGTAACCGAAAATACGTCTTTAAGCTAAAATGAGCAGTTGATTGAAAATTTCTCTAAACTTAAACATCTACTCACAGAACTGATAGTAGTTCTAATAGATTTATCTCTTAAATGCCTTCTAATAGATGTCACGCCTTGAACATCATTTTCATCCTTTCCCTTTCAGTGTCAAAAAAAAAAACTTTGTCGAAATAAAAATCTAAAATTTTGTACTTAAAATCGTATGAAGGCACAGAGTTTAGAAAAAAGCAATTCTTATTTAACCCTTGGACAGTTTTGTCTGTATTTCAGCAAAAACAAAGACATCAATTGTAACGGTACATAGGATAACCGAAGGAAGAGAGTAATTTTAAATGTCGAATATATTCGACAAAAACACTGAAATGGTTAAAAACTAGTTCCACTGAGCTTATCATCACATATAATTAGTTTTTCTGAAATATTATATTCAATTTTTTGTTTGTTGACAATATTTCTAGTTGAAGAAGTGTCAAAACAGTCTTATCGATGGCAAAAGTTGATATTCATAATGTTAAGTTTAATTTCAGTGGCGTTGTCAGTTGAAATCATAACTGGAGTTTGGTGGCTTTCCATAGTCGGCCCATAAATTTGTAGATACCATATATACCAAGAGAAAAATTTTCTCTTAAAAAACTTGAACTATGAGTTCTTGATATATTCACCAAGGTCATTTATCCCCAATTTGTCATAAATTGTCCACCATCAGACCGTAGATAAGCTCCTTTTTTGCATGCTGTTATTGAACACACCTAACGGTTGCTATAGCCTTTGAGTCGACCTTATAGCCTTTATTAATAAATAAAAATACATTTGATATGCTGATTTTATTAAGAATGTAAATTTATTAAACATAAATTTGGAAAACATTTGTAGTTTTTCCAGCATCATGGACAATTTTTAGTATTTTTTTTATTCAATGTTATGTGATGAAACGATTATAACAGTTAAGGGGACCCCCCCCCCCCATTCTCGGGGTCAAAATTTTTGTTGATATAATTCGAATCTACACTGATTAAAGAAGGTCTCTACAAAATTTCAAGTGAAAATCTCAAGAACTCTTGAAGATATAGCCGATTTATTGTGTCAGCATCAAGTGACGGCTGAAGGGCTTCTCAAACTTTAAACGCGTTTTTCTCTAAACATTTTTTTGCGAATGGCGGGCACGATAACTCAAAAACTAATAATCCAATCGGTTCCAAATTTTGCAACGTTTCTCTGGGAGTGTATAGCTCTCGTATGAACTAGGATAAACCCAATCGGTGAAGATCTTCCTTATTTTTTAACTTCGTTTTTGGTAAAAAATCCGCGATTTTTCAAAAATATTTTTTCAAAGGGCCACCATTTTCTTAATTTTAGAGCGAAGTCAATAATCCTAGTTCATACGAGAGTCAGACATGTACTCTTTCTAACACCGTTGGAATTTTCGGATTCCCATGTTCCAGTGAGGAGTTATCATGCCCGCCATCAAAAATAAGGACTTTTCTTTAATTACAAAAAACAACAACAAAACAATAACAAAATTTTTTTGTAAATTATTTTTCTTCTCTTTTAAATCTTCAATTATATATGTGCAAAGTTACAAACCTTAACAAGCATTGGTATTGATTTACCAGCCCATTGAAAATCTTGAAAAAATAAAATCGAGAATGTATATATATACTCTTAATTCTATACATCCATCTGGTTACAATTTACCCACTTCGTACATATAAGCACCCAAAAGTTTAGTCTAAGGAAAACAGATTAATTAATTAAATTATAAATTTAGTATTTAAAACAACTTACCCCTTCAATATAATTGTACACATCGATCTTTTCATTTTGTGAATGGGCACCATCATCACTAGCCCCCAATGGTATTAGAATAACATTTTTACCAGTGGCCTCTTGCAAAGACAATGCAATAGAAACAGAACCACCCTCTCGTGTCATATCAGGTTCGACATTGTAAACATGTCTAATCGCAGTCTTAGCTGCCTCGTAATGTGGATGATGGGGATTTTCGGTCCATGGCTTGACGGTTGAAACCAAAGAAACTTTCAATATATTTGGCGACCCACGTTCAGTCCATTTCTCATTTAAATACTTTGTAACACATTCGTTTATATGTTCAATATCTTGATTGGGTACCAATCGAATCGAGAATTTACCAATAACCTTGCCTGGGATAACAGTTTTGAAACCAGGCTCATAGTAGGCACCTTCAATGCCATGTATAGACAGTGCTGGATAACGCCATCTGGCCATTAATATACGTGTTTTGTCTTCATTGTGTGGCAATCTGTTGGCGCCAACAACATTTCTGAAAAAGAACAACAACAAAATTTATTAATCCATGATACACTAATGCTAAAAATTTCCATTTATACCTATGTATACTTACTTGTAATCTTGAACATCGTAATCAATACTTTCATACATTTCATTTTCGTTGGTCAGCAAAGGAACAATCTGGAAATAAAATACAAGGAAATAAATATTTAAATAAAAGGAGGTAATCCTTAAAACTTACATCTCTCTCAATGCCGGGTATGGTAATGTTGGTCTCTTTATCCACCAAAGTGCTTAGTAACCAGCATAAATCCGACATTGCCTCATATACACTGCCACCAAATACACCACTGTGCAAATCTTGGCGCGCACATTCCACTTCCACGTTATAACATACAATACCGCGTAGGCCATACGCGAGGCAGGGACGATTCTTACCCAGCCAATAGTTATCGGTGATACACACAAAATCGGTGTTGGCGAGGAAATCATTTTTACGCGCTTCCACAAGATTCACTAGCAGTTCATCTCTGTCACTTTCTTCCATGCCCTCAAATATAAATTTTACATTGACAGGTAGTTCAATGCCGAGTTTTTGGTACGCTTCAATGACATTCATCCAGCAAACTACTGGTCCTTTGTTATCAGTCGCGCCGCGACCGTATAGCTTACCATCTTTTTCGGTTAATTCAAATGGTTCCGTATTCCAACCATCTTCCTTCGAGGCAGGTTGCACATCCAAATGGCCATAAACTACGATGGTTTTCTTGTTGGGATCCTTGCCCAAATCGGCGAGAATAACATTTGGGAACGGTATCCTTTTACCATCAACCATCATTTCATGTTCACCAATATCGGTCAATTCGACATCAGCACCCAAAGCTTTTAATTTGTCTGCAGTCCATTCGACCATACGTTGGACTTCGCCGTAATTATTAGGCCACAATGAAACCGATTCTATGGCAACAGCAGTTCGGAGGACATCAATATATGCCCTTTTGTTGTCATCAATATAACTTTAAAAAAATAGTTCAAAAAATTATTACATTTACATTATGCAAAAGTAAAAAATTGTAGTACTGGAACAGACAAATATGAGTACACAACAAGTTGGAAACTTTTTAAAAAATTACAATAGAAATTGCTCTCCATTAAGTCAAAAATTGCGTTTTTAACGTATTTTCGATTTTTTATTTTGAAAATTTTTGCCAGCGTTTATGTACCGCAACACAAGCCATATTTGTTGCTTACCTGAATAATTGGTTTAAAACAGTAGGTAGTTCCGACATATTGACTTTTTTGGCTCTATATAAACTTTTTCAATGTAAAAATATCGATAATGATCACTTGCGCGGATACACTTTCCACACACGTATTATATAGATATGTTCATTGGAGAATCAAACATCAGTGCTTAAATACTCGACTTTAGGACTTACTGGAACAAATAACAATGACATTTGGGAAATCCCTGCCGATAAACATGTTTGCGGTTATTGCGGTGTGAAAACGCAAGACATAAAACACAGTTGTTATCACAGATAATGCGTAGTGTCTAAAATGCCACTGTCATTGTTATTCGGAATTTTTAAAACTAAGTTTACCAAAAATATTACGAATTATCGTTGTAATATAAAGTAGTCTGCGTCAGGGACGTATGCAGGGGGGGGGGTGGCGGCGTATTGTGAGGAAGAGGCAACCACCAAGTCTCAAAATTACTTCTGTCGCACCCTCTTAAAAATTGAAAATATACTTTTGCATGCTTTACAGCCAACGAAAAAAAGGAATGCCACAAATATGCGATGATGTGGACTCATGACTTTATATCGAGAATGAGAGATATTTCAAAAGGTATAGAACATATTACAGACAAGCAAGCTTCAGATATATTGAAACAACAATTAAAGTGGTCATTGAGACAATTTTATTGTGTGAAAGAGAAGACATCGCCTTGATGAAATCGGTTGCTCTCTTTGAAAGTTATCGTGCGCACCAGCCGGCCAGTCAATCAGATGGATATTTGTAAATCGACTCCATATTGTTTGAAACTGATTGGTTCCAAAGAAAAATAGGGTCTAAATTGTCTATTTAACTGTTAAATGGTTCTGGTTTTATCTCTCGAATTTAATACCTCTTTTCGAATTAATACCTTGCGATTTCTTTTGGGAGCCACCACCAACAAAAGTCTCGGCGTCGATTCGAGATCTCAAATATGATATCCACCTTTTGTATACATGTTAATGTGGAATAAAAATATTTATTTATTTTTATTCAACATTGTCGTATATACAAAGCCTTCAGCCCTAGAGTATGCATGTCTATTTATCCCAAATGTATGTTCAAATCCCAATATTTAAGATAGACGTCTGAAATTTTGTACATATTTTGCTACAACCACTAGGATGTTTGATATTGTAAATGGGATATGTCGGTTCACGTTTTGGCCCTAATTAATGTTACGCTCCCAATATTCGGTACGTCTTGAAACCAAATCAAATTTAATTCGATATTTTGGGTTCTCAATAGATTCCGAATTCCTACCAAAACTGATTTATATCGGCCCACGTTTTGTTTAAGTCTCCATATAAAGGTGTCACCCGAAAGGACTGTAAATTTACATTCTGGGTTCTTGAATATACTTTTATTTATCCCCCATATAAAGGTCCCGTAGTTTTCATTTATTAAATATTGGAAGCCCAATACAAAATAACAACCCTTATGGGAAAATCCATTATGAAACCCAAGGTGTATTTAATAAGGTGTATGCATCAGATACAACAACAAATATTTTACAAAAACAACATTGTTGTTATAGAAATTAAATTGTCATGCTGACAATAAGTTTTTGACAAAAATAAACAAAAACAATTATTAATTTATTTTTGTCAAAAACTATTCTTTGTGGGATAATTATTGAATTTGTGTATTTTTGGGTTATTGGCGGTTTTAGGTCAGTGAAAAATAAAGTTTAAGACCTGGTCGTGAATATTTTTAAGTTCCCCACATGTTCCTTGTGATGTTGTTTCTATGAAGTGGCTTCAAATCTTGCCATCTTAAAGAAAATTGAAGGACATAAATCCCCGGCCAAAGACTAAATCATGGAAATTGTGTTGACCGTATAAAATCTTTCCATTGGCGTATTTAACCTTCGCCGAGAATTGTGACAAGCGCCAAGGAACCGATTACAATATAGGCTAACACAATCTCCTCAATTTTATGAGTAGCTGGGATTTCTAGACAGATTTCCACACATAACATAAAATATGTGGACCAATCGGTGAACGGGGTTATAATTGAGTCTAGGTTTCCTTTCCGCCCGCCTCTATGAATGTAGTTTTCTTGAATTTTTATAATTAGGAAAGCTTCAATGTTGAAATTCATAAATTTTTGAAATCGAAATGAAATATTGAAAATGTTTTTGACAATTTTCTTTACAAACAATAAAGAAAAAAGTTTGAAACCATATGATTGTCACTTACACCTTATTAAATACACCTTGATGAAACCCTTTTATTATTCAACCATCAGTTAAATTTAATTTTAAAACAAAATCCTTTTTTTTAAATAAAAACACATTTTAGGGTTAATGTAGTACGTGTTCGTACTAAATTGTACCACAATACATCATTGGTCTAATGTCGATCTATATATCCCTAACATTGTCTTCGTCTTTAGAACGTACGAGAATTAGCAGTATCTCAAAATATACAAACAAATATTAGTTTCCATGGTGAAATTGTTTTAAAAATTGCATTAGCTAAACAATAGGAAAGTAAAAAACAGGAAAAATAAAAAGTGAAATTATTTAATTAAGGATAATTGTATTAAGGAAAACGTAGTCACATTTATCCATAGACGTGATCTGTCAGTGCGAGCGAATGAAAGCGTAAATGTACGTATAAACGGGACGGTGATATAGTTGCGAATTTTTTTTTTCTAAACCATCAGCTGTCAAATGCTAAACGTCATTCTTTTCGGTTTTCGGTGTGTGTTTGGCTGTAGAATTAAGTGAAAATTTTGTGAAAATCTTAGGTTTTAATTTTGAGTGTCTGAAATTGCGTCTTGATGGCATTCTAAAATCATTTGGAATTCATGGAATAGATGACAACAACTCTAAAAATAATTTACCATAATAAAATAAATATATTTTCATTATTCCTCTTGTAGATTTTCGTTTGTGTTGACTTGACTGTAAAAAAAAAAAAAAAAAAAAAAAAAAACAATTTGGAAAATTGATTTTATTTAAAACACATACATAAATATAAAACTGAATCGAAATAGCCGGGGACGTAGAAAGAATCTGTAAAAATGCTTATAAATCTTAAAGTGAAAACTTTGGATGCCCAGACCCATGAGTTCAGCATTGACAATGAGGTAAGTAGAGAGTGGGGCTAAGCACACTCAACGTCACATCCAGTTTGCACATATGTTGAGTTTGGGCGAGTCCTTTTTGTGCAGTGAATGCGATTTTCTTTTTTGCTGCGATATATTTGGTGTTCTATAACACGTCTTTTTCTTATTCCCATAGATCACAGTGCGTGAATTTAAGGATAAGGTGGCGGAGAAAACCAACATTGCTGCCGATCAGCAGCGTATTATCTACTGTGGTCGTGTTATGGTCGATGACAAACAGTTGAAGGAATATGGTTAGTCATTGATGATTGTTTATGCGTGGGAGTTGAATATTGGTAATATTTTAAATTTTAATTTCAGATGTTGACGGCAAAGTGGTTCATGTGGCTGAAAGGCCTCCTCCCTCTCAACGTTTGGCTAACTCGGAGTCCTCGAGTTCCAATACAACTGGTTCGGCAAATGAACGTCGAACTCGCGGTAGAACTGGGGCTGGTGGTATGCGCAATTCACCCCTGTTTCGAGCTTTGGATGGTATGGTTGTCGGTACTATGGCTTTTCCGGTAAATGCGAATGTAAGTCAAATGCAGAATTATTCACTTTTGTTTAGTCTAGGGGATGCAATTCGTTCTTATGAAAGTATTTTCCACCTGTGGTTTACTTTAAGGTCCCATATTTTCCTTCGAAAATGTATATTACCTGAGGTACTCGACTCTAAAGATCCTCTAAGACCCATTGTATTTTCAGCATGCCTTTTATATCCTCCGACATAAGGTGGAGTATATATTAACTTTGTCAATCCGTTTAAGCTAGAGCTCTGGTAGAACTCGTAGGATGTTTGGTATCGGTCCATGTTTTGTTGTAGCTCCCATCTAACGGTACCACACAATATTCGAAAAAAAAACGATTTTTGAAACGTTTTTCAACTAAATTGGCTGTAATTAGGTACTTTGTATTCTTATTGTCTAATCTCACTACCGAACATTTTCAATATCGATCCCCTTTTAGTACAGCCACATATAACGTTTTCGGCATTTTAAGAATTTTGAACATAGACATTTTAAATGTCAACATCATGGTTAAAGGGTATAACAAATTCGGACCGGCAGTACTATCCTTTTTACTTGCTTAAATTCACTTACACATGGATGCTTATGGATATGGATATCAATTCCAAGAAAATTTTAAATGTCTTGGGGAAAATACAGGGGTCTCAGCGGGATTATGGAGAGCAACATATCTCAGTAAGTATGGACTTCCGCAAGAAAATGTTCATATTTGTTATCAGTGCCCTTAGGATTTGATTTTACATCAAAAATATTCTGTCCTCCATGTTTTGCTAAGAGTTTAACTTGTTTAATGTGTCAGTAAATGTCATATTTTATTTTATTAGTAATAAAAAATTAATGCATGTTTATAAATATTTCGCATTAACCTATTCGGTTGGAAATATATTTTAAGAACAAAGATTTACTTTTTTTAATTATTTTTATTTTTATTTCAGGGCAATACTCAAACTCCAGTAAATCCTTTGGCTGTATCATCATCTTTTTGCATGAATCGTATTACCGTAGCTAGGCATATGCTTGACTGTGCTAATAATATTGCTGCCTATTTGGAAGATCCATCTAGAGTAAGTTTTCTACAGAAAATAATATCTACAGTGTGATCATCATTATCATACTCTTTTAGGGTTTAAATAATCAATCTCTTGATATTTTGGCACGTGGTCGTTGGACTATGGAATCTACGGTCGTTGAGGTAGGTATAACATCGGATATACCACAAAGTCAACAGATTGTTGAAATGGTACAGGGAGCTGTACAGGCAGCATTACGTCGTAGCGGCAATACTAATGTAACACTAGTACAATTGCCCCCAGTATTTAGTTCAGAGGAATCTGGAACTAATACCAATAATGGCACAGCCACCGCCACAACTAATGCAACCACCGCAGATGCAGCCGAGCAAAATACACCAGCTGCATCGGTGATTATTGAAGATATCGACGAAGATGACGATGATAATACACCAACAAATGAGCAGAATAATTCATCTGCTACTACACAATCCACAGCAGACGATAATGCTGCCAATGAAGAAAATGCCGGCTCATCAAGCCCAGCTGAAGGTTCTGATGCTAATAATGGCGATGCATCCAGGCGCCGTACTGGAACACGAGTACTTGCAGGTGTAATTGAACAAATGCGCCAAGTCCAGGCTAGATTAAATCCATTTGTTGATCAATATTATGCATTGTTGCAAAATGACCAAACCTTTGAGGAGAGTGTAAGTATCACGTCTTAATTCTAATATAATAGCAATTTAATTTGGAAATATTTTAGGACACAAATGGTCGTGAAAATGCTCAACGTCTATTTGATCGAGTTTCCGAAGCATTCCACTATTTGTCACATGCACAGCATGCAATTTCTGATTTGATGTTGGATGTTTCACAATCTGCTCCGAGATATTTAACTTGTCGTCCGATATTAATAGAACAAAGTGGTTATGTTAGTTCTAATAACTTCATTACACCCGCCATGTTCCCAGCTGCATTGCGCCAAAACCAACAAGCCCAACGTAATAATACAACTACAAATAATACAACACCATCGACATCTAATACAACGGGTTCATCAACAAATACAACAGCTCCCGCTGCATCAACTTCCAACACTTCATCTGCCAATGGTGCTGATACAAACAACGCTACCGTCGATGATCCAGTTGACGATCCAGTCACCTGGCCGCCCATTATAAATTTTGGTGCCCCCACAAATGATAGTAATGCAAACAATGCCAATGATGCTGCTGGTCGTGGTAAGCTTTCCGTTTTTCCCCTTTGAATAATAGTAGTGTGTATGAATGATATGTATTTTTTATTTTTGAAATATCCTCACCTGAAATTTAGCCCCAGCTCAAGGTGGTACCTTAGAAATTGTTTTACAACCTACACGAGCATATTACTTAGAACGTATGTTGTAATATTATTTGGTTGTTTGTTTTTTTCTAAGTTTTTTAAGCCACTAATGTTACTAATACGTTTAAAAATGATTCTAAAAAAAATTTTAGTTTGGAATGTTGCAAAGAGCTTGATACTAACGCTTGTTTGCAAAAAATAATAATAACAATATACGTACCTTGATGGGATTTAAATGAGATTTTCAAACGTGAATCTAGGTTATTCTGTCCAAAGAATAAAAATGTAAAGATGGTAAATTACAAATCTCGTATTTGATAAACATTCCTCATTTGAGATTTGGTGTGGAAACAATTGTAGTTGTAGATAATAATTCGATATAACACAATACTATAAATTCATCTCTCGGAATTATTTATAACGACAGTCGAGGGACTGTTGAATCCCAATAAGCGATAGTCCGTTATAAACGATAAGAATATCTTTTAAAGCTACTATCTAAAGCGTGGATTTTTTAAACAATATTTTTTCAGCGACTGTCTAAGGCGTGGATTTTTTAAACAATATTTTTTCAGCGACTGTCTAAGACGTGGATTTTTTAAAGAATATTTTTTCAGCGACTGTCTAAGGCGTGATTTTTTTTTTAATTTTTTTTGCTCTTTAAGTATTTTGTTCCGCCTCCCGGAAAACGAGTAAAAAAGCGCCACCATCAATTATGTAGACTTTGTCTACCTGCTTTCAATGTGTATTTAATGTTGACGTTAATTTCCTTGATGAACTCGACTAAATCATAAAGATGATTCCAATTGTGTTTTTTAATGAAATCCTCTACTGATTGGATTCCATTGAACGACGCAAACTTGACTCTGGTGGCGGTGAATCTCGTGCAACCAAACAAAATATGAATGACCGTGTCTTCCGTCTTACAAACATGGCACTCACCAGAAACGATTACATTAATTTTACCCAATGTGCTGTTGCTGAAGATGTTACTCAGTATACGATTAATCATGGATTTTTTAAAGAATATTTTTTAGGGACTATTAAATAATTGTTATTTGCTCAATCTAGATCTACCTGTGCAAACAGTCCAAAAGTGTTTTTGTATGACCACTGTTTAAATTACATTTTTATTTCTGAGCAGGTTCCCCGTGACCCAATAATCCCTATATTTATTGACATTAACATTTTTTATTCATATACTAATTTTAACCCATGTATATTAGATGATAATAATAATTGCCACATTTTGTTGTTTTTTTTACAGGCAATTTCCAACGTCAAGTTGCCCGTTTGCTACAAAATGTAGTCAGTGCAGCACCATTTGATACTGAATTTCATGTTCATATTAACAGTCCAAATGTGGTATCAATTGATGTACCCATTGGTGCGGCAGCCACTGGCGCTGCTGCTTCAGGAACCGGAGGTACTAACTCCGATAATGCTGCACCCACAACAACATCCACAGGCAGTAACGATAATGCCACAGCGACAACCGCTAATTCAACATCGTCCACAACTGGAAATAATGCTAATCCGGCTCGTGTTACCACAGCTACACTACCAACAACTTCAACACAAACTCGTTCAACATCACGTCCACAAGTACACATTGGTAATATACCCGTTTTGGGTATGCCTCCCGGTTGGAATGGTCGTGTCTTACCAGCAAATAATGTATCATCATTTGATCGTTTCTTGTCATGTAATAGCCATCATGTTCGCGATCATCAGGGCAATGCTAATAATGATAATACTGGCCGAAATACAAATCAAAATAATACAAGTACATCGGGATTGGGTAGCCTTGCTGCTCGTAATCGAGGTAAGAGTGAATTATTTCTTAACGTTGTCACAAAATCCATTTTGTTTTTATGGTGATGGTATGTTATGTTAAAAAAAATTCCATTTTTTGGTGGCAGTGTATTTGGGAATGTTGGTTGTTATGCTATTTATTTATTTTTTCTAAATCATTCATTTATAAACAGCATGTCACATATGTTGAGGATAAATGATTTTCTTAGGGAACTTGTGTATATAATAAAATAAACTTTTTGCATATTTGAAAATTATTGCATGTCATTATATAACACGACGTTCACATATATCCCTACATTGAAATAATCGTCATGCTGTGAAGGTAAAATATTTTATGTGAAATCGATTAAAATTTCACCAGCTAAAATTCTATTCTTAGAAAATATATTGTTCTCCAGCAGGAGTATAATTTCTTAATTCTTTTATATGATTGTAACATATTTCGATCAACTGCTATCATGCAAAACTAGCACGATGCGACAAAAAATTGTGAAAATCGAACCATTATATCCATTTATCCATTATATTGTACAATAGATTAGTATTTATTTGCCAATCTTTGCCACATCAACTACAAAATCTGTTTGGATCAATTTAATTCATAAATGGAGCTGCAATAAATTTTGGTACAACACAAAAATGTATTTTTTGTTCGATAATATTACACCCAGTAGTCAAATCAAAGATTTAATTTTTATTTCTACCTCTTCTGAGATATAATAACACACCCTACAGAAACAACTCATTTGTTTTTGTTAAATTTTATAAATTGTCTCTTGATTTCGGAAATCAGATTTTTTGCTTTGCCCCCATAATTTTTTTTAATTGGTCATAATTCCACCAACATACATTCCTCCGACATATTTCAATTATAAATACTTATGGCATATGCATTTGAAATTCCATAATCTATCACACCATATGTACGTACATCCATCATCCTTCCCATCATAAACATGATTGTATTTTTTATTTTGTTTGAAAACGAAAAAAAAACTGTTATAATACATTAGCAAATATTATTACACGACGACGTAATATGTCTGGTATTTTACAACGTGTACGCCGTGCCTCAGCAGCTCGTACAGTGGGTTCAACAATGACTGATCCATCACCGAATGCCAACAATAGTGCATCATCTTCATCGTCAGGAAGTAATCTTCTCTATCAGCTGGGTAATCGCAACAGCGCAGCTTCTTCAACAGAAACACGAAGGCTTAATATACACAGTCAGCTAATGACATTTATCGAGAATCAAATGTTTAAAGGACAACCTATCAATGAGGAGAATATGAGTCCAGCCATCAATCGTGCTGTCCAATGGTTTGGGGAAGCTCTGCTATATTTGCCACAATACGAGAAACCCGAATATAATTCTAGGGATTCCCTATTCAACATTTTACGGGCCACTCTGCCAATTGTCATAAATCTAATGAACAAGAATCCTGTAAATTTGGCAGATTTCGAGCAGAAACTGCGTAAGATATGTGAGGAATTTAGAAAACGTTTGTACAGTGTCTTAATCGTGTGTATTGGTCGTGCTAATGCTGACATCTATTGGGGTCAATTGATGCGTTTACTGTGTGTATCTATACAATCAAGTAAGTAAAGACGACTATCATAGAGTTACATTGTCGAACATACAGTTAAATTTCCTTTTTTGTGCATTTAGATTTCGATGGAGAAGTTGTAGAATTTTTGACTCTTTACTTAAGTCCCAATTTACCAACCAGTTCCGATGAAAATGATGCCCAACAATTTATAGTACATCGTAATTCAACCACTAACAATAGTAGTAACAGTGTACCCTTGGTAAGTGTTGACATGAGCCATTATAACAGGACTAGTTGTTTAAATCTGGTCATTTTTTTCTTTTCATTTGTAGCCCATGGACACAGATGAAGAAATGAACGAAGTGGCTGGCACTTCTCAGACTGAAGTTGATGACGAACCATTACCAAATGTTGTTGCAGGTTCTTCGCCATGGCATCGTAACTTCCCCAATGATTGGTTGCCGATTATAACACGTGATATACAAAGACAAACTGAAGTGAGTTAACATTTTTAAAATAACTAGATTTTGATAACACATCAGGCAAATGTGGTTCTTGTGGTAGCAGGACGGCGTCAAAAAGTTCTGAGCCGTAAAAATTTAACAGAACATGTTAGTATGTTCGACTATCTGCAACATATTGAACAATTTAAATTTATTAGGTTATTTTACACCCTAAGTGAAATACAAGTTCCGTCCAATAACTAGCAGTTTGTAGAATTTATTTTCGTAGACTTCTTCATAATCAAACAATAGCGGATTCATAATAATCGTTTAGTATTGACCCGCCCAAAAACAAAATTAAATAACATTTTCATTTTCCCTAAAAACAGATATGGCTATAGTATATGAAAAAAACGAGTTGTTAACTTTGACCGGGGGTTACATTTCATATCATTATTTAAGATTTCCATTAATCATTAGGTGACAATAAGATTTCTAATAATTTACATTTCTCTTCAGAATCCCCCCAATCAGCCACCCTATTCAGATGCTTACATATCAGGGATGTCATCTAAGCGAAGAAAATTAGTCCAGCACACTAAACCTCCTACAGAAATTAGAGCCCTAATAGCTGACAGTGTTGGCAAAGCCATACAAAATGCTGGCGTTGGATCATCAACTGCTGCAAACCAATCACAGACGCCCGAAGAAATTGCACGAGCAATTGCTAATGATACAGCTGTACAGTCATCCTGCACCGATGCCATACGTACCCAGGTCCGTGAACGACTTGAAAAAGATCCCGATTATCAACCAGAAAAATATCCAAAATCTGCAAAATTTATACAAAAATAAATTACCAACACACATCAAGCTCCTCCACCCCTATATTTTAACCATGCATCACATAATATCGTATCTAAAACCACACATATATTGAGCATAAATGAATATACATATATTGGTAGATTCATAAGCTATTTTCTTGTAAAGAACATTGAACCATTGCATTGGCTTTAATCTTTCAAAGTCAAGGTACAGAAGAAATAAAGGCAGATTTTAACTAAAGCAAAGCCCAGTAGGTGTAATGGTTTCACTTATATACTATACATGCATATATATATATTACTTTTTTTTTGTTCTAGGGGCTATTTTTGTATGTAATTGGTTGATTTAAAATAAACTTTAAAGGGAATTGTTGTGTTTCTTTAATGACAAAAAGATATATGATGGATTTAATTCAAACACACACAACACTACTTTGTTTTAATTAACTTGTTTATTATTAATTAGTTTCATATAAAAGATGATTTAGTTCTGAATTGTAATTTCATTTTATATAAAAAAGTATGAAAGAAAAAACAGGAAAAAAACACCCCACATTGATATTTAACTATACTGAATAAAATATTTGTTTTTAAACTCTATGCTAAAATAAAAATAAATAATAAGTCGACAAATAAAAAACAAACAACACTATAAATTAAATGTATATTCATGTTAATTATACATCTAATGGATATGTTTTAAAAACTTCTTAACAATATATAACAATCATTTTGCAACGTCAACACTTTAATATATATTTATTTCAATCCCTTTTGTCTTTAACAGATATGAACGAATGAATGTCATTACTAAAATAAATTTTACAGGCATTATTTTTTTTTAACATTTCTTGACCGCTTAGTTAATTATTATTTTGTTGCAAACATATATGATGTGCATAAAATGCACGTTCACACGGCAATCGAACCATTTTTATTAACAAAAAAAGATATGAAGCAACATGCATCAGACACGGCAATTCTGTATATTTTGTAAAAACAAAATCCATTTTTTGCAATGCAGAACGCGTGCGAAACCATCATCAGCTACTACATTTACATGTAAATTGATGTGAATGTTTATCAAAACTATCACTCGAAGAGATCAACTAAAATAACACACATAACATAACGACAACAAACTAGTATTGAATATACTATTATTACATTTATGTATAGTGGACTTTAAACTAAGACAAATAAATACAATTATATAAATAACCATATAAATTGTTATTTTTCTTTTTGGTTGATTATTGTTTGTTCTGCATTTTTTATAATGGACAGTAGTTGTCCTGGTAAAATGTGGGTCGTAGACGCCGCGTCGCCTAAAAACCGTTAATACATTCTATCTCCGACAATGAAGTAGAAATTGAAAATTTTTTGAATTTTATAAATTTCCATTTAGGAAATTATTGTATGGGCGGTGTATAAATGTTTTCATTTCGCCTGTAACTGCTCGAAATAATCAATAGTAATATTCTTATCCAAAATTTGACCTCAAATCTTCCTAACATTTTTTTCAATGCAGAATATCCCTAATGGACTTTGAGGTTCCTCCAGCAGCATTTTCAGGTAATAAGTGCCTAGCACCAAACAATAAGTATATTTTGGAAATTTGTTGAATTAAAATGAATTTTAATAAATTTTTCCAGTCGAGAAAATTCAAAAGGTTTATTTATTTTAGGGAACCCCACCCATTCTTGATTTTAATTTTTCAAGATTTTCAATGGGTTGGTAAATCAATACCAATGCTTGTTAAGGTTTGTAACTTTGCATATATATATTTGAAGATTTAAAAGAGAAGAAAAATAATTTACAAAAAATGTTTGTTATTGCTTTGTTGTTGTTTTTTGTAATTAAAGAAAAGTCCTTATTTTTGCTGGCGGGCATGATAACTCCTCACTGGAACATCGAAATCCGAAAATTCCAACGGTGTTAGAAAGAGTACATGTCTGGCTCTCGTATGAACTAGGATTATTGACTTCGCTCTAAAATTAACAAAATAGCGGACCTTTGAAAAAATATTTTTGAAAAATCGCCTATTTTTGACCAAAAACCAAGTTAAACCAGTAAGGAAAGTAGTAAAGTCGGACGGGGCCGACTATATGATACCCTTCACCACTTTGGATATATTCAACAGATGAATCCTAATATACATCGCATTTTTAAAGGACCAGCAATATGAATGGTCAGATATAGAAGCTATATCTAAATCTGAACCGATTTCAACGATTGCAGGAAATTTAAAACACATCATTCTAGACCTAATTCATTACGCTGTACCAAATTTCGTGCAAACCGAAAGATATTAAGGGACTTTGGTACACCGTTTACCTTAAATTGGACGAAAATATATATGGGAGCTATATCTAAATCAGAACCGATTTTCACGAAATTTAAAACACATCATTCTAGACCTAATTTCGTGCAAATCGAAAGATATATAGGGACTTTGGTGCACCATATACATAAATCGGACGAAACTATATATGGGAGCTATATCTAAATCTGAACCGATTTTCACCAAACTCAGCACACATCATTCTGCACTTAATACAGAACGCTCTGCCAAATTTCGTGCAAATCGAATGATATATAGGGGCTTTGGTGGACCATTTACCTTAAATCGGACGAAAATATATATGGGAGCTATATCTAAATCTGAACCGATTTTCAGGAAACTTAACACACATCATTCTATACTTCATTCATTACGCTGTGCCAAATTTCGTGCAAATCGAAAGATATATAGGGACTTTGGTGCACCATTCACATAAAATCGGACGAAACTATATATGGGAGCTATATCTAAATCTGGACCGATTTTTATGAAACTCAGCACACATCATTCTAGGCCTAATTCATTACGCTGTGCCAAATTTCTTGCAAATCGAAATATATATATAGGGAGTTTGGTGATCCATTTACATTAAATCGGACGAAAATATATATGGGAGCTATATCTAAATCTGGGGGGTTACTCTGTATTGCGTTGCGAAAGCAAGTGCGATGCGAAAGCTAAATGCGTTAAGAGTACAATTTGGTACTCTGTAACGCTCACGCAAACGCATTCGCAAACTAAATCAAAAATAGGGCAACACTGTCGCCACAAAGTAAACAGTAACGAAGAATGACAAAAGGAAACGTCAAAAAATTTTAAATGAAAACATTTTTTTGTGTGGTACGAGTGTTTTTTTAAACAAAAATGATGAACGAATTAAAAACAAAAACAGAAATTTATGAGATCGATCAAATATACTCTCCCTAAGTTACCACGGGTATTAAAATAGAAGTACGAATTATGTGACAAACATTTTCAAATATTTAATTTTTATAGATTTATACAAAATGTTCGTTTCAATAAAGATTCGTTTATGTATTTATTAAACGCTCGTCTTTCCAAATAGATCCACAACAATTCCAATCCCAATAAAAGAGGCCGCTGCTTTGAAATTGCTTGGACAAGGTGGTTATCAACACCAACCTGTAAATATGCACACATAGTTTCACATTTATATATAAAAAATATAATACATTACTTTTTCCAACCACCGACATCTTTTACAGGAGGTCAATTTGAATTGAGGTCATCAGACAGTTTTGTCCACAAATTGTTGGCGCGTTGTTTCGAATTTGAACTCTGCAACTGTCCCTTTGCCAAATCACTGTGTTGCCCCATAAAATCTACTTAAGTTAGGAACTGACGTTGCTGAGTCTGCAACTGTGACTTTTTTGCCTTTTACTTAAAATAATTTACAATTTATATAAAAATAAAAAAATTAATTGAGCTTACTTATATGTTTCGCTTCCTTTGCGTTTGCTATTTTGTTAACGCAAGATATTTGCGCTTAACGAACGAGTTTGACATGCGTTTTCGTATTATAGAGTGCGGTGATGCCACATTTGCGTAAACTAGATGCGAAAGGAGATACGAAAACGAATTAGAGAGTACCAATTTCGCGATGCGTTAAAATTTTTCTCACGCATCGCAATACAGAGTAACCTCCCTGAACCGATTTTTCCCAATTTCAATAGGGTTCGTCCTTGGGCCAAATAAGTGACCTATGCCAAATTTCATCCAAATCGGATCATAAATGCGACCTGTACTTTGTTCACAAAAATACATGGACGGACATGCGTAAATCGACTCAGAAAGTGATATGCATATTCTCAAAAGGAACCATGTGTCTATCTCGTTTCCTTTTGCCTGTTACAAACATATGCACAAAGACATAATACCCTGTACCACAGTGTGGTGAAGGGTATAAAAATAAGGAAGATATTCACCGATTGGCTTTATCCTAGTTCATACGATAGCTATACACTCACAGAGAAACGTGTAAAAATTTGGAATCGATTGGGTTATTAGTTTTTGAGTTATCGTGCCCGCCATTCGCAAAAGAGAAAAACGCGTTTAAAGTTTGAGAAGCCCTTTAGCCGTCACTTGATGCTGACACAATAAATCGGCTATATCTTCAATAGTTCTTGATATTTTCACTTGAAATTTTGTAGAGACATTCTTGAATTAGTGTAGAATCGAATTAAATCAAAAAAATTTTTGACCCCGAGAATGGGGGGGTCCCCTTTTATTTCTATTTCATGATGTCTTCCGACCTTAAGGCGGTAAACTACGTTAAAATGTTTAGTAACAAATTTTAATAACAATTATAGTAACTTAAGTGTAGGAAGGTGGTAAATAAATTACTTAAAATAGTAATTACTATGGATAATAAAACACGTAAAATTATAAAAGTAAAGTAAGTAAAAAAATATATATGTATATATAAAATATTTTTTTGACAAATTGAATTAAAATTACTCAAAATGGGAGTTCTCATGTTCTGACGAGCATCATTCGAGCTAACATTTTTCGAAAATTTTAATCATATTCGAGCCTTTTTTAGTACTGCTGGAAGATTAAAATGCTCGAATATGTGCGCATTTTCTGATCGTAATTGACTCAGTCGTCGGGAGAAAAGTGCGAGCCTGCGCGATTCCTCTATATTACACATGAGTCTTGCTCGG